CACACAGTATGCATATATGCCAATTAGAGACTGACCAGTTGCAGTCCTAACACATCGATGGGAAGATTCAAACAAATAATACTAAATGAATTTAAGTTATGATTATTATTATTATTAATATTACTAATGGCTTTATTCAGTAGTATTCTGGTGCAGGCTACTTATATCAATATAAGTAGTATATATCGTGAGTAAGAAATAGAATATCTGACAGCAGAAGATTGAGGAGATCAAGAAGAGAAGAACAGAAATACAAAGCAATTACTGTGGAAATCCAGAAACAATGAAGCCTGAGACAATTAAAGAACATTTTGCAAATAGAGTATCAGCAGAAAAGAGAAAGACTAAAGAACACATTACGTCGGGAATTAGTAGCAGACATCTGAAGGATGAATAGCTACTGGAATGAACTGGAAAGGATTACCCAGGACAGAGTTGGATGGAGAATGCTGGTTGGCGGCCTATGCTCCTCCATGAGGGGTAACGGGCGTAAGTAAGTAAATTTGACAAAGTGAAAGTATTATTTGATTTTAGATAAATCTAATGGTTGATAAGGAGTTTGAGCACCTGAGCAAGTATCTCAGCCCTGACATAAATTGAATGGTTTATGTAGCGTATATATCGGTTAAGTGCTCGGGCTCCAGACTGGTAGTTCCTGGTTTCGAATCTCGCTCGCGAGGCGGGTTCGTGGATGCGCACTGCTGAGGAGTCCCGTAATATAACGAAACAGCCATCCAGTGCTTCCAGATTTTCCATGGTAGTCTAGCTTCAATAGTAGTTAACTGTACTTTAACATTTTTATCTTAATGATCTATCTACTGAATAAAGAACGCGATGGTGTTTGAAGTGAAAGGTACTGGGTTCGAGTCCCAGAGTAAACATCAACTCTGATATGCCGGCGCATCTAGCTGACGACTCCCACATAGGACGAAACGCGCTTCAAACTGGTTTCCACTAATAGCCACTAACCATCTTTACTTATAAAGCTTGTGATTCCAGGCAATATCGAGGCAGTCCACATAGATTGCACATATATGCTAACAAGAGATTGATCACTTGCAGTCCTAAATAACAATGGGAAGATACAAATCAACAACAACAAGTGATCTATCTACTGTCTATACTATAACAGTTCATATCAAACACTGAATCCCTGGTTGATATAATTGATCCTGTCTCATATTCATTATCATAAATTATGAAGGATATGATTAAAAGAAAAGTCACATTTTCTTTCAAAAAATCACTTTCTCACTATCTGAGACATGCACAAAGTATTAATAATCAATATTTTCAAAATTGAAAGCGTAAGTCAATTGAAGCTAGACCACCAAGGAAAACCTGGAAGCACTGCTTGACGGTCATTTCGTCCTATTATGGGACTCATCAGCAGTGCGTATCCACGATCTCGCACTCGTGAGATTCGAACCCAGGACCTATCAGTCTCGCGCCAGAGCACTTAACCGATATATACGCTACATAAACCATTCAATTTATGTCAGGGCTGAGATACTTGCTCAGGTGCTCAAACTCCTTATCAACCATTAGATTTATCTAAAATCAAATAATACTTTCACTAAATCTCCACAAAATCCCTTCTGATTATAAACAATATTTGACAAATTCCCTTGACTTAACTCCACTGTACAGTTGTAATGACAGTGGTATACACATATAATAAAAAGTCAATTATGGTGTATGCTTCCAAGTTTACCATAGTGATCTAGCTTCAATTGACTCATGATCTCAACTATATAAAATTACTATAATATCCACAAAAACCCCTTCTGATATACTACTAATGTCGATAGATATAAGTAGTATATATCATCAATCCGAAATAAAATACCTGGTGGTAGAAGGTCAAGTATATCAAAGAAAAGAGAATGAAAATGAAGAATGATGACTGTAGAAACGGATGAACAATGAAGTTTGAAACAATTGATTAACGTTTCACAAATGAAGTATGTACTGTATGAGTCACAGATTTTACTAAGGGATTCTGTAATTTTGAGTTCAAATACCATCAATTTTCCTCATTTGTGTTCTCGTTCACTATAGTATTCTATCTATAACTTTTGTTCTTACAAAGTTAATAAACAAACCTGGTTTACTGATAATGATGAAGTCTGTGTGTAATTTATTATCTCTATTTTAAGTACCTCATTAAAATAGTTCACACACACACACACAAAACCTTCAATGAATTATTACATCCCATTAAGTTCCTTCAATTAACAACAAACTCTAATGAAAAGGTAACGTATTGTGTATAAAACTAAATTAAATGGTTTTTTCATACATCATCAATACAGGTTTTGAAGAGACTTGACAACTACAGAAGTTTTAGACCAGATAAAGGGGGGAATGCTACGAACTAATGTTAAAGTGTATATTTTGTTCCTATATTATATACTTTAAGATTAATTTTAAGTTTCTGAATCTTCATGTGCTTTATTCAGTACCATTTCAATAGATCCTTCTTTATCAATATCATAAATAAGAATCATAATATTTTAAAAAATCTTGTAGAGGAGAAGTCAATTAAAATTAAGATGATTTTGAAATGATATAAACTGTTTGATACAATCATTATAAGCAAAGATGGATAGTGGCTAACAGTGGAATCCAGGAAAAGGCGCGCTTTGTCCTATTTGGGACTGGTCAGTTGGATGTACCTGCATATCACAGTTGTTGATGTTCACTCTGTGACTCGAACCTAGTACTGTTCGCTTCAAACGCCATCGCTTTTGATACAATATCTTCCATAATAGAATTGTGTACAATGATATAAGTCATTTCTATTCATTTTTCACTGAACAATCAAAGATGTGGATCAGACATTTTCATATCAGAAAACGCTAATTTGTTACTTTTAGGAATCTTAGTCATTAAATTATTATTCAAATCGATTAATTAAGGTTTCTCAATGAAGATGTCATAGTGTAGTGTGGTCTACTTATATCCAATATAAGTAATATATGGTGATGGTCAGACATAGAATGTATTTCGGCAGAAGATCAATAAGAAAAGAACTGAAATGAAGCGCAATTGGAAGGAAAATGCATGAACACTGAAATGAGAGAAGATGAATTGATATTTACAGAAGGAACAGTGAAGATTGAGACAATTGATTGTTAATTTGCAAATTAACTGTTTACTACTGTATGGTTATCAGAATTTAGTGGGATAATCTGTAATTTGTGTCTAAATACATTCGATTGTCCCCAACCGGTGTTTTCTTCACTACAATAAAACTATACAAACCCCAAAAAGTATCGATATCCTGTTTAGTTCAGTAGTTAGTAGTATATTTCGGTTGATTAAAAATTTTCAATAATAATCTATTTTTGTTTGCTAATTATCCACCTTAAACTGTAATAAATCGCAGATGTGTTGATTCTTGGAGATCAAAACCCGTATCTTCATATTTGAAAGGCAAATATTTAGCGTCATTTCAACTGCACGTACATCTACTGACTTCTGAGGGTGCTAAGTTTACCTTAAATTTAATCTATGAATGCACAGTCAACTAAATACCTTTATACTACTACATTTCGGGTTACGATCTTGTTCATAATAAGATTTTAAAATTATCATTAGATGAAGTGTTTTACACAAGAAGGGAAATAATACATAGTTAAGGTTTTCATATGCAGTCCTATAAGTCTCTGTATTTGATAGATTAAGCTTCTAAGTCAAGTTAAATGATCAGTGAAGCAGAAAAATAATCATATCCTTTTCTTATTAAGCGACTATTCCATTGATGTTAATGTTGCCGGCACTACATTTTTAGTTAGAGTTCATGATGTTCAAACAGTCAGTATTTACATAGTAACCAAAAGTCGGTAAACGTTAAAATGTCTTAAAACACTGTAACTAACTGCATGATAGGGAGGTAATGTTCTACTGAAAATGTTCTGATACATTCATATGGCAAGTTGCAGATCATCTATTTTACGTGACTTATAAGGGTAAATTTACGAGGGTTACGTTCAACCAAAATAACGTTTGGAAGAAAAGGGGAAAAATACCAAATCAGTAACGCAACTAATAATTACACTGCAAAATAAGTAGTTCACATCAGAGTAAATGTTGCTGGCTACATTTCATTTACATCGATAATCCCTATTTTTAAGTTGCGTAATAGTCAAGAGATAACGAAGGGGACATGACCCATAGGAAAGAGAATTGAAAGACTTTCAACTTGGAGTCAGTAAAAGAAATTTAAATTCAAACCAACACTATATCACATGGGCAAAAATAAAGGGAATCAAGAATTCCTAACTAAAGGTTCCATCTCCATTGAATCTACTAAATAAGTACCACAAACTTCGAGCTTCGGCAATATTTCTTATGCATGCTGTAGTATTGTAAGTATATCAAACAAATAAATCGGGATCTTTACTTTCACATTGTTCATAAACGAGAAAGTACCTACCTTCATATTGAAACTGCTCGTTTTGCTTAACATTAGAATCACAGAGTACGAGTCAAAAAAGCGGATATGTTCATTAGTAGTGATGCATTATAGACACGAATAACTATTACCGCTGCTACTACTAGTGATAACACATTATTACCGACATCCTGAACTTGGCTATCTACTAGACTCTAAGTCGTACAAAGTTCGGTAGAAACGACATATTACTTTCAGACTTAAAAACATTCTCTAAATTAAAAAAGTGGATGTCTTCAATACAAAATACACAACATTTACAAATGCGCAATTGGGATCACATAAAACTAATACTAACCAAATCCTTACACTTGTAAATCCCACAAATCTTACTTACAAGGAATCTCACTGTATTTGTCGGATCTTTGTCATACTTCAAAGCTAACTTCATTTACTTTACAATTTTAATTTAAGTGAAATAGTGGTTTGATATCTCACTTCATGAATTTTATATACTCAGATTTATCTCAGGAGTATCATGTATTACGTTAACCAAATCATAAAAATGAGAACGTTCTGTGATTTACTTCAATGAACTTACCGACATCAAAAACTTTAAAGTCTAGATCCTTGAACCGAAAGTTCGTTTCGACTATACCTGTTGTCTTCACTCTAGATCTCAATACATCTTGTTCAGTTGGTAAATAATCAGGAGCAGATATTCTGTCAATAGAACCGAGGTAGTAGCCTGCGGAATCATTCAATTGGTATTCCTTGGAACGAGCGAAACATTTCTGCACACTTGTGTTGTTCCATAGTTTCAGTAATAGCTTTGATAAATCCTCAGGAAAATCTCCTTCTTCAACTGTAGCTAAATATCCGTTAAGGTGCTTTAACTCATCGGCTTGGTCAAAACCATCTGCCGTTATATCTAGTGACTCCATTGCTTTAAGTATTTTTACCATTGACTGAACGGTGTTAGCAAAAATGATCGGTTTGTACTCTTTTCTCTCTTCTTCTCTGTAACCTTCACCATGGATTATTTTCATCTGTTTTAAAACTGTCGACTTTCCACACTCACCAGCGCCAAGAAGAAGTAACTTGACCTCTTTCATTGACTTTTCCGCATCTTGTCGTATTTGCTTCTCTATAGCCCTACTCTTATCTTGCTGGACTTTAGCTGGTTCACTCCATGCACATCCCATGTCAGATATTTGAGTAAATGACCAAACTAAAACCAGTTTGGATATATAGAGTCCACTAGCATGGAATTAAAAACTAAGTGAACAAATATACGGTATATCATATATATAGACTATCCAACATTAACTAGCCAATTATTGAAGATGTTGTTCACTAGGAGACTAGTATCAATACTATAAGTTTAAGACACGAAATACCAGCCAAAATATTTTTTTATAACTTCATTTGAAACCTTGAAATCGCCGAATTAAAAACTATATCTTTTGAAATTTAACGAGCTTACGTAGAGATAGTGTTTTAATAGGTGACCTCTGACGCCACAAACTTTAAATCTGGCTAGGCATGGCTGAGCAGGTTAGTAAGAAGTATCGTTAACTGGTTATTTCCAGCGAGAAAACGCATTTCAAAAGCAAGAAGTGAAAGGAAAAAATGGTGGAAGATATTACAAAAGCATAGGCCTTGGTTATAAAACTCCAAAGGAGGCTATTTTCGGTACTTACATTGACAAAAAGTGTCCCTTTACTGGAAATGTACGTATCCGTGGTCGAATCCTTACGGGTGTTGTGCGTAAAACTAAAATGAATCGAACTATTGTTATTCGCCGTGACTACCTTAAGTACGTGAAAAAGTACAACCGATATGAGAAGCGACATAAGAATATGTCTGTACATTTATCTCCTTGCTTCAGGTGAGTGCACCGTGTGTTTGTTTACACTTGCAGAGATGTGGCTGTTGGAGATGTCGTAACTGTCGGTGAGTGTAGACCCCTGAGCAAAACCGTGTCATTCAATGTCATCAAGGTTTCAAAAGCCGCTGGTTCAAAGTACAAAAAAGCCTTCCAAAAGTTTTAATGCCTGAAATAAACGTATAGGTTTACCGTATATCTTGGTTCTCCTTTCGTTCCGGGCTTAATTGACCGGTTTATTTTTATTTGGAGCTTTCCGCTTTCGTTTGGTATATGAGTCTTATTATAAATCAACTAACGTAATATTCCACTATATCATATGTAAGCTGTAATACAAGATTTTTACGCTGTAGCGTAATGCACAAGCATTATTTCCTATATCCATATAGTTCTTATAATAATGACTTGCGCGATTTCCATTTGATGAAGAGAGATATTTGCCCCAGTTTCATTTCCGTGTCTCAGTTAATCCAGTCTGACTCGTTTTGAGATATGGTAGTTACTTGGAAGATTCTTTTAGTCTAGTAATTTATAAATTACATGATGAGATTCACAAACACTTTTGGTCACTTCGCCTTGTGACAATAAAGAATGTATGATTGAACTGTCGATTTGAAGATTTAAAAGAAGACTAAGCGAAAGTCAGAATTTCTGTCGTGGTGTTATACCGACCCTACATATTAACATAAACTATGGAGAATAAGTATTTGTTATCTTAACGATCTCTAGTTAAACTACGTCGCTGTTACCTTGATTTGGTTGTCTAGCTTCCCTTTCGTGATGAGCCAATCCTCAGTCTCATCAGACCGGTCGGTTGAAGAGCGCTAAGACAAGCAGCAAACCCAAGGTCGAAGTCGTATTGCTCACTGTACAGAGGTGTTTCCTTCATACAACCAGCATAAAAGCAATGTTGCATTCCCACAAGGGGGCGGGGTTAGAAAAAGTTGACCATGGAATGCAAGCCTCGCTTTAGAGTTCTCTGTAAATGTCATGTTTCACTTTATTTGGAATTTAGACAAAAACCAAGTGTGTCCCGTTGCCTCTGATCCAATTTCCCTTTCAGTTACCTCTGGGAGGACTTCCATTGTTTTGGAAACCGGGAAGTGATAATCGCCCTCATACCTCTAACAGCACTCGAGACCACTATATTCATAATCAGTTCTCTTCATTTCCCATTATTCCCCCTGCCTCGATTATCAAATATAGCCAACGAACTTGGTGCGCGAAATACTTATTCACCAGAACCTTGAATAGGTTAGGGCTGCTTCCTGTCCTTTTGCCATATAAAATCAGCTAAATTAGTTCACACTCGAAAAATATGAAAACTGCTTCATGAAAGTCTAATCTAACTCCACAGGCGGATAACTAATCAGACCTTTTTCGGCTTAAGAATATACATTATTTCTTAAAAAGGATTATATAAAAACCAAAAATAAGGGGTTATTGCCATATGCTGTGTCATGTTTTGGTCTAAACATCTTGGATTTCCGAACATTCCACTTCAGGTATCAGCGAAACAACTATCACCTTATAACCTTCCTCCTTGCGTTAGCACATGGTCAGACACTTATAACTCAACTGGCCGCTTATTAAGTGTGCTGCATGACTAACAATCGGTGTAGTACAAGGCTTGTCTACTGATCATGAGATTTGTTAAAGACGTTAATAGAACTTGGTACGAATGTATTTTAACTCGACATTTTTTCCATACTGGGTGTCTGTATCTTACAGTTCGGCTGCACATGGCATATTCACTCTTCCCTTAGTACGACGACGCAAAGGCCTGGTAACATAGTGTTAGTCCCAAAATAGATAGTTGTTCCCGTCAGCATATAACGAAGTTCGACGTCAAGTCCTCAGCCTAGTCAGCAACATGTTTTTGCAATCTGCGACTGAAAATTCCGACGAAACAGTATCTAACCTCTGGATTGTAGATGAGTGTCTAGTCATGACACTATATGTCCCATGAAAACAATTTGTGATTCCTTTCACTATTATCAAGGAAACTGCAGGTCTAATTTCTGGTTGAACTTCGTGTAACTGAATTAACCAACAGACATGTGCAAGGTATCCGTAGTCTGAACAGAGTTCAGTATTGTTCATTGTATCGTAAGAATGTTCAAATGCATCCTATTCACAACACCCAGGGCATTAAAACCTGTTATCAGAAAGTCAAAATAGTTTACAGGATGGAAATAAAGGAATTGATTTGTAAATCTGGATAAATATTCATACCACTATAGTGGTTTCTCATGCATATAATTCCATACAGCAGGTCAAATGTATCTGCCTAGCGTCTGATGCTATGTTAGAATCCATTTCCCCATAAGGCGAGTCATAATCGACTTGTTTCCCTCGATTGTCGCTATTGAAATATGTCCGATTACACACAAGTCACTTGATTTGTGTGTGGGTTGTGTTGCTGCATGGTGCCTAGGCCGAAGCAAGTATTACTCGTACGGGGGCCACACCACGAGCCCTCGACCTAAAGGTCTGATACACAAGCAAGTGGAGCAACGTAGGGAAATGGTTTCGTGGTAACCAGCAGCTGATTCATAATCCATTTGTTCTTTCAGGATCTTGGAGCTCATGCAGACCGTTGGTTTGGAATGAGGGTTTTCCAACTCTTCTAGGTGGACCCTTCGTGTTCACCAACCCGGTCAAAGTGCCGGACATTCGCTCTTCGTCCTGTCAATTCCGTAAACAACAGTAATATCGAGAAAAGGCAGTGAGTAGGAATTTCCTTGTAGTGGTTGTATGCATGTGACCATGTGAGAACATTTCGAGAGGAAGAGCTGGTTCTCCCCACCCTCGGCCGCACCAGGTCTTTCGTAAAGCTTTTGTACATCTTGATTTCGGTAACCAGCTACAACAAATTCTGAACCCTCAATTGAATATTGTTCAGACTACATGGAAATTAACAATCACCGTTCTGACTTATAATCTCTCCCTATTCGTTTATTGTTGGTCTAGAAATGTTCAAAACCGATGAAACCAACGGACACGAGACTTCCTATTATAGTTGAACCGCGAAACTTTCCACCTTACAGCTTAGGAACGATAATGGTGCTAACTGTAAGAGGAATACAGTTTCGTCGAACTTCACTGACTGTTTCATTAGGATATAATTCCTCATTACAGCCAAGGTTCGAAATCAAAACACCCCTATAATTTAAATCCAGTTCAGGGAAGTATGATCAGAATTTTAGGTAATACTCAGGAATAGATAATTATTGTATAAAAATCATTCCCCTCAAAATTAAGAAACTTCAACAGCGAACTAAGTACTGTAGGTTTGTTGATTTAGTTGTTTAACGAATCCTATCGCCGTTAATACTTCATGACAGCATAATGTCCCTACAAATAGACCGAAAGTGCCAGAACAGATACTAAGTAAGTGATATATGTATGAACTATGTTGAGCCACAGCAGGTAGATGCAATTATAATCCGAGTAATTTAAAAAACACTTCTAGTTAATTTGAGTATAACCAAAATTAAGCTACATCATATGCATTAATCACACGATATAAACACGTGTACAATCTTCAAGTGATTTTGCTAAACTAATGGTCTCTAAAATAATTTGCTTCAAAATATACTGAGTACTAAATACACGTGTAATGAAAAAAATATTCGAACAATAAGCTTTTGGTATTGAAATGTATAAACTACATTAAAATACTTTACATTAATCGCAATATCCTATCGGTCTTAACAGCCATCCATTTAGATTGATAGCCTCATATGAGGTGTATTGACATGGACAATAATCAACTTACTTCCAAATAGATCTCTACTAGACACACGTTTTGGAATTCCTAGTCTGGTGTTACTTTAGAACATATATCTGTCACAAATGATTTTTTGTATGATGACCGGGTAAGGTGGTCACCGTCAAATCTTATCAGAAACAAGCGCTAAACAATCCCTCTAATGGAGTTCAACCTAGATTTGGTCACTGGCGGTTCAGCAACACTATGATTGATATAGCTGACCATGAGACCGGGTTTCCCACTTAACCAGAAACTACCAGTCATATTGCACTATTTCAGTTGTAATATATATTCAGCGAATTGAGTGACCCCATACTATAAAAGTCCATCAACAATCTAAATTACGTTCATCGACTCAGGAGTGAAAAATGTTGACTAACCAAAACTGAGGGTTTACTTAATTTATTCCCTGTATTTGATAAAAACTAACGGGTAAATGCCAATCAAGATTCTCTACTCTTAATACACACTAATATTTATTTTAACCGAAATAATAACTTTTAAATAGATACTGAACTATATAAATGGACATTTTTCAATACACGAGACGATAATTCAATTGGTGTCACCAACTTCGGTGGCTTGGACATGTTCTACGAATGTCTTCCCAGAGAATTCCACGCCACGCATTATTTGCCAACTCTGGGACGCGCAGTATTCAAGGAGTGGTCGAGCACAGACTTTGTACATTGGAATACGTGATTCGTTGTGATGAAGGTTCCGAGTTATGTAACATATAAGGCGTTGAGACTTGGACGTTTGTTTCATTATCTGTTCAGTAAACGAAAAGTCGTCGGAGTACCTAAGTCTACTACTGTGTGTAACCTAGATAACACTTCACCATTTATGATAAGATCAAGGCTGAGTGATGTATTACTGAAGCATAACCATCCACACTTAGCTGTATTAAGCTCCAGTTGCCATTTCGAGCACCACTGTGCTACCTTGTTAAGCTCCGTGCTGATACAATTTTGAATATTGCTCAGCTCATGTGGAGAAAATGAGTACACCACCTTAAGATCGTCTGGAAACAAAAGGGACTTACCCACACTAAAACACTCACAAATATCATTAATGAAAACTAAAAAGGGCAATGGACCTAAGACATTACCCTGGATTCTCCCACTTCTAACAGGGACTGCGTTCGACAATGAAGAGTTGATTTTAACTATTTGATGTCGATTGCTGAGGAAGGAATCAAACCAGGCTAGTAACGGGTTTTGGACCCCATAAGACGCGAGTTTACCTATGAGAAGTTGGTGGTTGACCATGTCGAAGGCCTTAGAAATGTCCAGATATAGCACTAATACTAGGTATCCTTGGCTACGAAGAGAATAGACTAAATTAAACAAGTTAAATTGACATGTCATGCAGGATCGATCTTTAAGAAATCCATGTTGCATATCATTGATAACTTTTTCAGTCAATAAATAGTTGAATAGTTCGTCACTAATGATTTTTTCCATAATCCTAGAGATAACTGGAGTGATATTTATTGGCCGATAGTTGTTCATATCAGTTTTATCTCCAGATTTGTAACGTGGTATGATGTACGCGGTTTTCCAACTGTCAGGATAAGAGCCTGATTCCATAGAGAGAGTAAACAGCTTAAGGAGAAGAAGTGGAATATCTGGACCACCATATTTGTAGAGAAATGATGAAATCCCGTCTGCACCGTGACCTTTCGAAACCTTGAGCTTATTTATAACCTTACTAATTTTCAGACAAGTGAAGGAGATAGATTTAATTGAGTTACCAGTCATTCATATAACTCTTGAAACAGAGCCATTTATGGATTCTTTGACATTTGAAAAATTACCACTGAAAAGGTTTGCTATAGTTTTAGGGTCATATATAAAACTGTTATTATTATGCACGATGCATGGTATATAAACCTTTTGAGTTGATTTATCGCGTTTATTGAAAAGGTGAATTAGATTTATCACTTTTGAGCTAGTACTTAGTGCAAATAGCTCTTCATTAATGGCTTTTAACCTATGTTTCTCTTTAATTTGGTTAAAAATTATTGTTATTTGTGTGACTGCCGTGACGTCGTTAGATTTAAAACAACGTTTCTTTAGGCATCTTAGTTTATTACGATATTTAGCTGGTATATATAATTCGTAAGGTTCACTAATCCTGTACGTCTTAATTGGTGCACAGGAATCTAAACAAAAGTTAACAATCAAATAGAATGTGTTGATGGCATCTGTCAGACTATTACATGAGAAGAATTCATCCCAGTCTGCGAGTTTGATCAGTGAGCGAAAGAGGTCCCAGTCTGCATGCTTATAGTCTATATAATTGCAGGTTCTTTGAATTGGTCGGTTTTAAGAGGGATAGATAGGGAGAGCACAAGCTAGAGAATTCCACGCCACGCATTATTTGCCGACTCTGGGACTGGTTGGAAAAAGCGGAGAGGTGGTCAGTGTATGACATGGTGTCGTGGTATGAAAGAAAGCTGTAAAGGGCTAGCTTCTGTTAGTCCTTCCCGATTCCCTGGCTGGGGTCCGACAGATGGTGCAACACAGTGGTTAGAGACGTTATTAGATATGGCTCAGAATAAAAGCCAGTGGCGAGCCCGGTGTAACCTTCTTTTACTTTCTTCATAAGGAGTGGTTCTAACTTTCTTAACTGAGAGAGCTCTTCTGGTTGTACATTTCAGTTCCACTCTTCTTTTTTAATCCTTCCTTCCTTTCCCCCTTTCTCCTCTCATTATTTTGTGTGGCGCATATGTATCTGGTGCCCTTTTGTATCACTATGTATGTGTTTAAATAAATAAATAAAAACATGAATTTTTAAAACCCCCATATTATGAATTAGAAAAACATATGTAAGCGAACATTGTTTTCCATTAAACCCTCATCAGGCTTTACTCTAATATACAGTAATATGCATATGCCAAATTATTAAATCAATTAAGGCAGTTTGCAAGTCATTGACAATAGTGGAACAGATCACATAAGTAAATATAATAAGTAAAGAGTACAGATTGATAATACTATGACAGGTGTACTAGTTATTAGAAGAATAATAAAGACTTGAATCAATGTTTCATAATGGAAAATAGGTTAATGACTTGAGAAATACAGACGCTAAAATAACAATCAGTCAGCTACAACGTAGGGCCAGGCACACATATGCATCGGTCTAAGTTGTCATACCTCATTAGCACAACAAGAACACCGGATTCATAGAAGTGATTAATTTAGTGGTGGTAAAATAACAATGGAGCGTTTATTTAGAAAGAATGATTTTGTTTTGGAGGGAGATGATGAATAACGAACAAAGGGTGTACGAAATAATGAAAAAAATCGTTTATTAGGGCTATTTCAGCTGAGGAAGTGATAAACGTGTTACAAATTTCCTATGAATACAAAGACTTGTTATTCTTATCACAACTAATACATCTGTCAATAGCATTATTAATTCGCACTCTTTACCTATGTGATCTATTCCATTGTTATCACTGACTCATTAACTGCCTTGATTGGTTTAATAATTTCGTATATACATATAGATACTACTGTATATTAGAGTGAAGCCTGACTAAGATCTAAAAGCGATTCATGAATCCGTGATTACCTACAAGTGTGTACCATGTATCTTTAACCAGTAGGTTGAGAATCCGATTCGGGCAGATAGGTAGCATCACTAGTCGTCACTACAAAATATGATTCGGGAATACATGAATATACATTGGGAGAATGAACCAAATATCTATACTACTGTTTTTAAGTACAAGCTGTTCATTTCTCCTAATACTTCGCCTTAGTTGATTAATTCAAGATGGATAGAATTCAAAATAAAACTTATTGACATGTATACAATAATAGGGGAAATTTGTTGTTTTTTTAGATTTTATTTTACAAATTGGAATGTTGAAAGACTAAAGATTCTGCAAGTTTGCTTAAATGAAAGACTGTGGTTTGAAAAACAATGAATGAAAATTGGTCACGATCTGCTGTTATTCGTCACAATCACTAGGTTCTGAAGTTCCAATGATCCCCTTCGCTAGACGCCAAACTTTCGAAAGTGGACCAGGGTATTGTGTTGAATCCATAGACCCGGCATTAATCATTGTAGTTTCACACAATCTAGGTTCTACTGGTGAGGTCACGGAAACTAGTTCCCAACATTCTAAACCAACAGACGAGTCGTGTTCTTCGAGTTTATTGGATGACTGAACATAATCTGAACTACTTGTCCTATATAAAGCAAATCTATTCACTTGTTTGTTACTTAAAGTTAAATTATCATCGTTTGATAAGTCAAACATCTCATCTACTTCTTCGCCTTTCTCTACAAAACACGGTGAACTAAATGAAACTGTAGGTTGACTTGTTAAAGTTAATGATGGAATCTTCCCAAAAAGTCCATCTAGTTTTATACTGTAACATTCGTCAAAGTACCTAAAAAGCAAAGAAAATCAATTAATAGACAAACCAAGAGGTATTTCAACAATCTGAAAAGTTACAAAGTCAAAACATTACGTATTAAATGTATCCCGAAATTCATTTAGTATAGTTTGTTTGAATCTTGCCATCGATGTGTTAGGACTGAAAATAGGACGAAACGCGCGTACTGGATTCCACTGCTAGCCACCATTCATCTCTGCGTTTCCCGAATTTTTTTTAGTAACAAAAAAGGTTTACTAACATTCTTCAATTACTTAGTTTTAGGATATTTACGATGGGAGCAATAAAAAATAAATATGACCATTCATCAAATACTAATTAATTCACAGATCACAGCACTAAGTAAGAACGCTGTCTATTAACATAAAGGGACAGGGAAAACACATCTGGGAAATAATTCCACACATCAGTTATATATAATGTTTCCATTGTCACTTCAACAACGCATGGATCACGGTCAGACAGAGTTATCACTAAACAATTGATAAAAATATTGCATATAATGATTGGAAAGTAATACGAGGATATTTAGTATGTGGCACCTATATAAACAATGACTTAGATGGAGACAACCATTTCATATGTCCATCGAGATAAGTACCATACACCACAGCACCAACTAAAAATGTCAGTGTACATCACTCAAAGCTGTACGACAGATCGCAAAATTTATGCTTAAATACTAGGGATTGAGATCGGTAACTGAAAGGACTACGGTGTATTAATAATATCTTAATAGTTTAATACTATTTCCCCCTACAATAACTAGGTTGCAGTGCTCTCTCTAGCTTCACTACCGAGAACATTATTTATCCAATAATTTTGGAAAGGTTTTGTTAAATCCAACTACGTTATTAAGTATGCATTATACATGATTAATATACACAAACCTAAGTCGCCTCCGAAAAAAGTTGATGGTGTTCAATAATGTTTGTTAAACACTAGTTTCAATTTCAGTACAACGTCCAAAGGAGCACTGATTACACATACATCACACAAGTCACTTGATTTGTATGTGGGCTGTGACACTGCCTATGTGCCCAGGCTGAAGCAGGTTAAAAACTAATTAGTGCACGCGCTCACAATCTCGTTTGTCAGACTTGTAACTAGTCTAGCTGACGATAGGCACAGTAACAATGATCTGTAAACCTACTAATTTGACGATAAAATTAGTTGAGTAATGTCTATACATAGAGTTTAGGTATACAAATATTACCTAGTAGACTTATTATTGTGACTGACCAGATTCCCAAGGCAATATAATCCAAATAATGGATTGTAAAGTGTGTGCCGTCCAGGAATTACATTTATCCCAAGTTGTTCTAATCCATTTTTTATATCAATCCCTCGACATTGGCATAATAGGTGAACAGCATAAATGACTGCGAAATACACACGACCCATATCATCCCTCTGAGGTAACGCAGACAAAAAAGAACCAACCAAATGCAAATTCCGGCGAATGGAGACTGGTAACCAAACATCTAACAAAATAGTTGAAACTCTTATTGCTACTGAGCAATATGTTAAAGCCGTATGACTCGATGGGGTGGGTTCAGGGCCTACAGTGAAAGTAATAAAAAGTGAAGATAATTTAAACTTTACAGAGATGACTGGAGATTTATAGAAAATTTAGGAACACATGTTATTTGCGTTAATCTATCACCAATCTACGAAAGTATGAAGTTACAAAATAGCAAGAGTAGTTGAGTACAGTGAAAGAGTACAATCGTAAACAAATAAAATAGTATACCAGTTGGACAGTTCACTTGTGGTTCAAAAAATTTTCATCACAAGATAGAACCGGTATGAGGAGTGGAGATTCTACATTGAGAATAATAAGAGTGGTACAGCAATATATGATACAAAAAAACATTACAAGAGTAAATGCCCTGGTACAGCCGAGAGTGGGGAGAATTCGCTTCCCCTATCCAAATGCTCTCACATGGCCACGCGTATATAGCATCCGCCTTCTCCTGGCGGGGGTGTTGTTTACGAAATCGAGAGGACGAAAAGCGAATGTCCGGCGCTCTAACCGAAGTGGTGGACACGGAAAGTCCACCTAGGGGAGTTGGAAAACCCTGATTCCAAACCAATGGTGCACATGGGCTCCGGTATCCTGAGGGAACAAATAGCGTATGAATCAATCGTTTATCACCAGCTACCATGGGACTGCATCTACTTACGATGCTCCACTGTCTTTTGGATCAGATCTTTAGGTCAAAGGCTCCGGGTGTGACCCCCTAAGAAAACCACCTGCTTCAGTTTGGGCACCTTGGCAGTATCACAGCCCTCACACAAATCAAATGAGATTTGTGTGGCGCATATGTATCTGGTGCCTCTTTGTACCAATATTTTTGTGTTCAAATAAAAATAATAAACAAGAGTAAATATCATCTTGAATTGTGCATTTCAAACCTAGTGGATGTACAATAGCTTTGTATGATAATGAACATTCTACTCACCAACAAAAATACAACTATGAAAAATACATAAATCGAAACTTCAGAGCAACACTAACCTGCAAAAATGTTCTCTTTATCGATATGTAAAGGTGAACACACAAACCTATCCGGAGATAAACTATCAGTCTGAAAATGAAGTAAACAAACTTAACACTGATATTCATGCGTCTTTAACTAAATACACTTACAAAAGTGTAGCTAACATCTAAGTGAATGTTTTCAAGACTTATAAATTATCATAAGTCGAATGACAATACACTGTCTAACTTTAATTGCATTCTGCAATACAATCTTATAGTGTTAAGTCGCCTTAACAGCACAAAATTTGACAAATTAAATGTAAGGAGCGGTAAACAAGACGTCCATAGGATCCGACCTACATTAAGAAGGATCTGACATATGTGACATTGATCACCACCAAGTGATCCATACGTCTGAACCCAACAAAAAGACAGTGGCGGCCTGGATAGCCCAGTAGTAACGACTCTGATCATGAAGCTGGGTGACACGGGATCGAATCCGTACGGGAACATGAGTTCCCTCAAGATTACAGGTACACCTTGCCGACGACTGCCAAGTAGCACGAAGCCTAGGTTCAGGGATTCCTATTGACTACCTCCAACCACCAACTTATCCCAACATAGTGCACGCAATGTCGAGCCACCCAGATTAGTGGCCACATTGCAACTTCCTCGATAGGATTCAACCTGCACTAAGGAGGACCTGACACATATGACATTTATCACCACTCAGTGGTAAATCAGTTGTAAGAAACTAGATGTGTTTTGTGGAGTTCCTCCTTTCCCGTTGACACTTATTTATCCATTATATATTATTAGCCAGCAGGAAAATGTCCATGAACTTAGTTTAGAGTGAAATTTTGTGAGGGCTATTAATGCCAACCGGATTTTTAAACCAAACGAAACTTAAATGGAATTTGAACCCGTGATTAAGTAAATGGGAATGAAGCAGTAAACCCGCTAAACTAGTGACTCTATGTAGATCCCTATTCAAGAGTCAGATTGTAGTTCGTGTAAATGAAATAACATTAAACACTGCCCTATACAAATATTTTGAACTATAATAATGATTAGCGTGTTTTCTTATCCATGAAAGAAAAATTAACCAAACTCACCGACAGGTCAGTCACGAAATAAACTCCAAGTAACTCCTCGAAATAAGTATCATGTACGTGTTTGATCTGCCTGTTTACGATATCAAGATCAGCCACCAGTAACTTTTTTCTCTGTGCAACTGTGATAAAATGCCGAACCAAATTAGCTTGCTGCTTCAGAAGTTGCTGAGATGAGGTATGGCATCGTGTCATTGCTTGTCGAACACGTTGTAGCTTTTTGCGTTCTGAAATAACGCACAGCATAGTGAATACGACTTACTCTCTGAATTCATTTTAGTAAGAAACTCGATCGTATGTTCCAGAGACGAAATCCGAACATTCAACTCTTCAATTCTACCCTGCTTCGATATAAAAATATGCACAACGAGATCTTACAAAAGTGTGAAATACAGACTTGAACAGTATGGGTTCATATACTTTAATCCTACTCCATAAATAATTATATATGTAGACCTACTTTCTATTTAATTCATTAACCGATTTTCGGACTGCCACAATTCGATCAGAATTCTGAGGGAAGCTGCAAAGAATCTATTTTACAAGGTATTCCTACCTAATTTTTCCGGATTTCTTCGAAAATATGGAATCCTTCCTGACACAATCACAACAGACAAATGTTTCTTTAAATGATTCACATGTACGACACTGGAGATTCAAATGGAACTGAGGACCACGATCAAACGGAACATCAACGCAAGGTGACTCTAATATCTGGAAATCAGCAAGTGCGACGTCGGAAACTGAGTCGTCAAACATGTATTATATTCAACCAGTTGTCGTTTAAAATGTAAATCGATAAGCCGTCCGGTTACTATAACTTCGAAGACATGTAACTCTCAGTCGTTAAATAGTTTATTGACAACCCGTAGATGTGTTGTAATGATGCAAATAAGAAAACATGCGTAAGCCTCGGTAATAGTGGTTCAATCGACTAACAATTGTTCAGATCTCCCTTCACAAGAGATCTGGGAGAAGGAACCTTAAATGGGGAAGACGTTTGATATTTTTGGAAGTGTTTTCAGTGAATTTACAAGTGAAACTTCAGTTAGCAATACACAACCGTTCGACCCTTGCAAACCATAAATCGAAACCTGGGATGAGTAAAGTATGGTTTTAAATAAGTCGCAAACATCTTTTGGATGTTCGAAGAACAAACCTTCATACTTGTTGAAAATAATGTTGATGTGTCAGTTGTTTTCCAGTGAGCTTCTATGGGCATCCAATCTTCTCCGAGATAGAGCAACTGAAGGTTTAGATACTAACTTTCTATGTACTTTGTGCAAAGGATCTACCAAGCGTGTCCAAGTCATCTCTCCTAATTTTTATAATAACATTAAAATATCGAGGCACATAAGTGTGTCCTATAAGATACGATTGCAGTCCAATTCACTTAGCGAATGGAGGGGTAGGTGGTCACTAGGAATAAACTCCGGTACACCTTTAGTAATCAAAACAAGCATAGCTACTCAGTCAATGTAATGGCATCACCTAAGAAAATTAGTTATAGAAATTTAGAAGTCCGGTAGATCATGACTTTACAACTCAACTTAACTGCTAACAGTGGTTTCCAAAGGTTTCCGGACTTTACGGACTACTTACAAGTCGTTTCGTTTTCTGAATCTAGGGATGTTGGAGGTATTATACTAGTTGTTTGCAGCAAGGCATTCTGAATATGCGATTTAAGCATAGAATCTTTGTTTCGAAAATAAAGCGGATGTCTAGAACCGAATTCAACAGCATTGGGTCAAAGCGGTGAAATATCTATCAAGGCTCTCTTATGAGGATGAACTGAGACTGCCCAACCTTTTCACGTTATCGTACTGCAGGTAAAGAAGCGATATAATACTGGTTCACTGTATGCTGAACTATGATGATGATGATCTCTTTCTTCGGTTTTGGACTAATCACGTTATAGGATATTCTCAGAAATTTCAAAATAAGAGATTGGATCATCTGAGTTCCGAATTTGATTTGTCATGTCTAATGGTGGATTGGCGGTACTGCATGTCAAAGCATCCAATATCAGCACCTGTTTATAGGTTCACAGTGAGATGTCTTTATACTGAGCAGCATCCCGTGAGAATAAATACAAATAGCTTCACCTGAGGTCCTTAATTCTAAAGACCGAGAGTAGTAGGCCCAGTGGTTGACTGATTAATAAAAAGTCATATCGTCGTGATACCTTTTGCGACCTTTAAGCTCACTAGCCATCTCTTATAAGTCCTCCCGACCTAGTCGGATGGAAAATAAACGATACGTCAGATTCAAAATCATTTCTTACTATACCACATGTCGCCGACCAATCACTTCTTAATCTACGGTAATATAGTGTGAGGAGGCCTAATTTTCTAATGCACTCGATATCTGATTGGTCATGCAACTTCCTATTAGCATGGATGACGTTCCTATGTATTATTATGTGAGAAACATCTTGGCAGCATATAAAATGATCTGTCAGGTCAACCAAACGTTGCTCTGCCTTATCTAAAACATTCATCTGGCTAGGCTGTTTGTATATAAGAGGTGAGATCATTGAACGTTTGATTATTCACTGAATACCATCATGGTCAAGGATGACCTACGCAGATTTATCAGTTGAACTCCATAAACAGACTCCATATGACTCTATCAGTACTCTGTATTTCTCTAATATTTCCCTTCAATTCAAGGCATTGGGATTCTGTTTCTTACACACATACACCAAAGAAGATGTGTTACCTAATCACCAAATAGGATATCCAGGCTACGTATTGACTAAGAGCTGTGATGTCAATTTACGTTAAAGGGCCACTCTAGTCCTGTGCAGCTCAATTGGCAACACAGCACACAAGGACCCAGAGACCTTTACGCAATCTCTTAACTTGGGTCTAGACTATAGTTGTAAATAATTCCCCAAAATCAATAGCTTTGCAAGTGTTCGATATTGGATGCTGACCACATTAGTTTTAGTGAACTCGTTTAGCTGAATGCGCTTGGTCATGCATCCGTAACAGATCACGTTTCAGAACCCCATATGAAGCATCTACTACGATCATTAGCCAGATTAGATCAGTCACTTTCCGATATACTGATAACCCATGAAATATATCTTCCAACCTCCTCGCTTCTGACTTTTGATTTTACTGGGTGGACGCGACTCGATTATAGGTTTTACCGGTAAAGTGTTGTCCAACTACAATACTGGTGGTATCTTCAAGTTGATGTTGTATGGGACAAGTTAACATATTTGTGTCTAACTTAGCAATGGTGTAAACTCCATTTTCTTACACTCCCGTAACAATATGGGGGAAATCCCTCCATGTCTGTGTGAGTGGTATCTTGTACTGTTTCTCTTATTGTTGGCTGTATTTCTGCATATTTGTTCCCATTTTTGGGGATTGATTGAAGTTAATATATATTCAAGTTGTTTACAAATTCTGAATCCTAACTATTTACTCGATATCTTTAAGCCTTTTAATAACTGCTTTATGTTTATTGAGAATTTTTCTCATGACACTCCCCATATCAGACTGGTGTACTTTAGTTGATACTTTTTTAACTGATTACTTCCTTTTGGTGTGGTTGCTTTTGAGGAGCATTACCTATTAGTTTCAGGAATATTTGCTACTATTCACTGGTAACTAATTACACCTTTTACATAGATATCGTTTTCTGGTTGATTAAACACCTTTGCAGCGAATTTTTTGTCACTGTATATTATTCCTTGACTGATGGGAATACTTTCCCTATTGTGAAAATTAGGCTTTATCAGGTATCTGTACCGGGTGGAAGGAGTGCTGTTCGGTTACGTACCTCTCCTGTGTATTCTCCGTACCGTTTTGAACACTTGTTACGTTGCTATGAGGGAGCCTTTGGTTATTGTCGTCTTTTGAATTGTTTAACCTAGAGGGGAGTCACTTTGAATCTATCAGTTGGACAGACACACTGAAGCGATCCAGTCTCTGGATCTAACAAACGGCTTATTGAAAAGCCCATGTGATTCCGAATCCTTCAGTTGAAACCGTACGGCAGTAAATCACGGTCCTTTGACCATAGGTTTTTATGACTTCCGGACCATTTTGAGTTGAACAGCAAGAAGTCAACGTGTTGACAACGTTACATACATTTCCGTTTACATGTCTGATGATGATATGGACAAGCCTGGGTGCAGTAACCCGTATTAACCATACTTTGGTCAGGTTTACCGAGTTATCGATGTCACCCTTGTGTATACCCTAGTCTTCAACCACAACTCGTATTCGGCTTCATCTGAATATAGTAACATTTCAGGTATTGATGATCACTGATATATGGAGTGAGCGAGAGACCTAGTACTTCAATCCGTCGACCACTTGTCTCCAAGAATAAACCTTGGAGCCCACTTTATTTCTTCAGTAAGCAAGAATGTCTCTGAGTCACACAAACAGTATCGAGGATCATTCAAGTTTTCTTGTATATGACCCCATCTACTATCTATCGACTCAATACAGTTCGTAAAGTGCTTTCTTGTACTGATTTGCATGGACGTGTCTACTTGTCTGGATAGATCTCTCCATGAATATGGTATATGCAACAATAACCCCTAGTTTTACGATCAGTTGTGAAATCTGTTTTTAGGTCGTATAATAATATATCCTGAAAATAATAATTTCAGAATTCACACCAGTTTACAGGCATGATCAGTTTCATATAAATAGCAATATTTAATGTAGAGAACAAACATGAAATATAAGATTGTTTTATGTTTGCTGGTTCAGTAATTGATAAACAGTTTAAATATGGCATATATCACGGAAAGCCAATGCAACACCAGGGAACTTGTCTTTTTTTCTTAAGTGGATAGCCTGATGATTTATGAACGTGGTTCTTTGAGGTTATTTCCAGTGTCAGAGTGAGTTATTGATAAATATCTACAACTAGATAAAGTAAGATTAAAGAAAAGAGCACAGAACAACAAAACAATGATTGCCAAAATATGCCGGTCAGGTTACCACTATTCATGTTAGATAATATTCAAACGTGTTAGAGTTGCTACTGACAGTGTTAATGTGAAGTGACAGCAAGTAAGTGGTTAAACATTTAAAGTTCCTATAATCTCACTTGTGGAGTAAGATACACTTGCAGGAGCTAGAGCATTTATTGCATTTTCAGAGGAGCAAAAAGCATTAATTGAGCGAACAAACAATGGGAGAGAGTTTAACATACGGATAGTTTGATGTAAATACGAGATTCGCTGATATGAAGGTTTCGAGTTATGAAGCCCATAAGGCGTTGAGACTTCGACGTTTGTTTCATTATCTGTTCAGTAAACGACAAGTCGTCGGAGTACCTAAGTCCTAGATCTACTACTGTGTAACCTAGATAACATTTCTCCATTTATGGTAAAATTGAGGTTGAGTGATGTATCACCGAAGCATAACCAACCACATTTAGCTGTATTGAGCTCCAGTTGCCATTTCGAGCACCACTGTGCTACCTTGTTAAGCTCCGTGCTGATACAATTTTGAATATTACTCAGCTCATGTGGAGAAAATGAGTACACCACCTTAAGATCGTCTGGAAACAAAAGGGACTTACCCACACTAAAACACTCACAAATATCATTAATGAAAACTAAAAAGGGCAAAGGACCTAAGACACTACCCTGGATTCTCCCACTTCTAACAGGGACTGCGTTCGACAATGAAGAGTTGATTTTAACTATTTGATGTCGATTGCTGAGGAAGGAATCAAACCAGGCTAGTAACGGGTTTTGGACCCCATAAGACGCGAGTTTA